TCGCCGCCCCCCCCCGTTGTCAGGCCAATCAATACATCGCAGACTACTTGCTTCAATAAAGATTAAAAGTACATATAGCTGATTCCTGCAAACGACAAGACGGCAAAATCGAATGGATTGGAGCGCCAGGGCTGCCTTTTCAACCAATAACGCCATCCTCAGCCCGCAACAAACACAGGGCGCCCTCGTGGCGCTTCCAATCTACGACCCTCGTCACAGGCCGACTCTTTTGCATGGGTCACGACCGTGTGGGTTACGAATGAGTTGAAGAATTGTTCGAAAGGCATTTCCTGTGATAAAATGGGGCTATGACCTTTTAAATGTTAAATGCGATCCGGGAAGTTGATTCTTGAGGCTCATGCTCCTGCATAAAAGTGGAAATCGGCGGGTACTCCAGGCTGAAAGGCAGACCCCAATTAGCCGCATGAGCAGCCCCTTAAGGGCCATGCCGACCGACCGCAGCTGGCGCTGCTAGCTCTAGCTATTAGCCAGCTGCTACTCGCTCTCTCTATCGCAAAATGGAGAGAGTTTTTTTTTTTTGAGGTGACTGCCTTTAAAGACAGCTCCCGCGATAAAAGTGTCATGGATAGTTGATGTTCAATTATGAAACAGTAGCTGATAAGTAATTCCCCAGAAAAGAAAAAAGCAAGAAGAGTCCTCAAGAACACCATAAACAAAATCGCGCCCTGACAGTCACACCTCCTTGCGGTCTCTGTGCAAGCCCTGGCTCACAAATCACTTTATCACATCTCCCAGTAGTGGATATCATCGAATCGACCCCGAAATAAAACAATACAAAAAACAAAAAAACAGAAGAGAAAAACTCGTGAAAAGAGTAAAGAAACGATTGTGCGCAGTTTGTCGACGAGGGGGCAATTTGCTTTCGCCTAGATGGTGGTCGGAGCGGCGGCCAGTTTAGATAGGCCAGTTTCTCGAGTTGACACGTTTTAAGGGTAGTGGCTAGACGATCTTACTTCAGCTTCACAAGAGTTCACAAGTTTTACCAGAGTGAGATTTGTAAACCGGAACTAGGGAAGCAATGATAATACAAAATGCCCCCCCCCGTCGACAAACAGCGCCAGCAAAACATTTTAAAAAGGCGGCGTCCGAAGTTAGGGTTACGGTAGTGTGCGTATTTAGCTGTAGGGAAGTGCACTGAGCTTTATACCACGAAATTTGGGTCCGCTGCGTTAATTTTTACGCGTTTATCTTGCGAATGTGTTGGAGGTTTGACTGTATTGTGTTCCTGTTTCAAAACAATGGTTGCGATAAGGAGAGCAGACATCATTCATGGCATGAGCGCTGGCAGTGAAAAGGACATGCTATTGCCGATAATGGGCCCCCCGCCCCAACAAAGAGAAAATAAAGCTGGCCCTCCGTGCGGAGTCTAGCCAAGTGGGCGGTCCAACTGAGCGGGCGTTAGAACTAGAATTTTCAGCAGCTGTAGCTCGCTCCTCGCTCGCTGTGGAGTCGCGAGAGTGGGATAGTCTCTAGCTTGGGGGCTGTACTACTTGCAAGACGACCATGTACAAAAAAAAAATAAAAAAAAAAAATACTTGAGCGCGACAGCTGTCTTTAAGCAACGGATACATTATAGCACAGAACACAGTACCTGTCTGCTGGGCCGCCTAATGACGTGTGCTGGTTCTGTACCTCGCATATCATCCAAAACTTCAGCTGCTCTCGTTTGCGAAGTAGACATTGGCGAGGCCTGGAAGCGGATCATTTTATGGAACGAAAAATCCATAGAAAATAAATTTTAACAATGAAAACGTGCCGGTAAGTTCCAGAAATAGAACTCTTATAAGCATCAAAGAAACAGTTCGATCGTATAGGTGGACCTGGTATATCACTGTGCCTCGAGGAAGGTTCCTTTCAATGGTTCAGAATGGTGGCGGTTGGAAGATCTACAGTGCGGCGACGCGACCGTATTCGTTGCAAGCTTGTGTCATTGTTTTGCATTCGCACAAGGGCCTAATTGATTCATGACGGACATACCACCGTTGGGCAGCTGGTTACCGATTTACTAGCTAGGAACGGTTAGCTGGCTCGTGCGCGTCGTTATGACGTGAATCCAATGTCCCCCTCCCACAGGAAGGGACCGGCTCCGCCCCCATGGTTAACGTGAACTCTTCCTCTAAAGTCTTACAACTCGAGATGTGCAAGCAGACTGACCTCACCGATGCTTACTTCTTTAACACGAAATGAATTCCTTAACGAAAAGCTACATAGCTCCAATAGGAGCGATTTTCCCCCATCAGCGTGAGACAATTATTCGAGAAGTTCGAGCATTTCACAATTCTAACTTCAGAGGATACTACGCCTTTCTTGTGCCATTCCAACAATCAAAAAAACACCCGCAATCAATCCATCACTTGCAGAATGCACTATGAACACTTGCCGTTGTGACACATTCCATGCAATTTTACACAAATGTCGTCGGCACAACGACAAAACGCGACTCTCTGACCACATCGAGGAACAGTTGTCGCGGCTGTCATAGACGAAGGACACTTGTACTACAAGCTCGTGGGTGTAATGTAGCCGCACTTGATAATTTAGGGATTTCCATAGTTGTCAAGGCTTTTGGGGCGGACAATTACGCATGGAGGTGAGCCAAAAATTCGAAGGAAAATAAGAGGTAAGGTATAAAAATTGATTTTTGTTCCATTATCTCCGCTAATTCGCTCCTAAGGGATCAAAGATGCGACTTCGATGAGACTCGTAGCACTTCTGAACTTCGCCGAAGCTTTGCGAATGTTACTCAGATTCCAGCCAGATTCATCAACAAACTGATGTTTAGATAATAAAGAATACAGGTGTGCTGAGATAAAGGCAAAAAGGTCGCCCTAGACGGGACTCGAACCAGTTACTCAGGCTTTTAGGTCGAGTGCGCCATATCCTTTGCGCCACCAGGCGCCATACAACCGAAGTCCAGGATATATGGTAGGTGTAGCTGCATACCTAGCTAGGCTAAGCATGGCAGTGGTTGTGCCTTTAGAGAATATTTGGCACTATTTACCCTTTACTGCCCCAATCTTCCGAAATCAGTCCAGTTTTCGACCGACTTTTTTCTGCGATGGCAGAATTGGCTGAAACTTGGTTCACGGGGTATTTTGACCTCCTGAATACGAATATCACACCCGCTCGGCACGAAACCTCTTGGCGCCTGCGCCACAGGCGCTGGCGCCAAAATACCCTAAATCACCAAATTTTGCTGAAAACCTTGCTCTCAAAGGTAGTCCTACAGCTCCTGAACACGAATATCACATTTGCTTGGCTCGAAACCTCCTAGCACCCGCGCTACAGCCGTTGGCGCCAAAATACCCCAATCACGGGCGCCTGTGGCGCGGGCGCCAGGAAGTTTCGGGCTAAGTGAATGTGATATTCGTATTCAGGGGGTCAAACTACCCTAGGAGACAACATTGCGAAATCCGTAAATGGATAAAGAAGTCGGTCAAAAGACTGGCTCAATTCTGGATGGTTGGGGCAGTAAAGGGTAAATACAGGGTGACCAAAAAGTTCTGGCAATTTCGTGTTTGTGCGTTTTTGAATGGCCATTATGGTCTGTTTTCTCTCCGATGGGTTATTTGTATTCCGCAAGCCATTTCGAACTACCGTACGAGTCATCTATCCAATCACTTTCGATTTCTCCTCGCACTGTCTCGAAAAAATCAAAAAGTTGCAGTTGTTGAAACCCATCTTCTGGTCGGTGCTTGTTGCTTGAAGAATGTGCTCGCCACCGACGAGAAAAATTTTCGATCACAACTACCGGAATTGTTGTCTGCTCCTCAGAAAAGGTCAACAGAAGGCAACGGCTGTGAAATCCGTCGGACGCAGACTCTTTCCAGCCTCAGTCACGGTCTGAGGCGGGATCTGTGCCACCGGGAAGACCTCTCATTTCTTCATCGAGCGCATCGTAAAGATTAATGCTGTCTACTCCCAACAACGCGTTCTCCGCGATGTACTGAAGCCATGGGTGTCGTAGCACTTCGGCCCGGATGGACACGTGCTTCAGCAAGACTGGGAGCCAGCACATCCTGCCAAACCCACGAACTGCCGCTTGTGAAGAGCTGTTTCCCGATTTTGGGGCAAGGACGTTTGGCCTCCCAACTAGCATGGTCCGAACCCCATGGATTATTCCATCTGGGTCGAAAAATCTCAGGAATTCGATGCGCAACGGTTTACCACCTGAAAGTGGCGTTGCTGCGTGTTTAGGACCAAACTACAGCAGAAGAATGCGCGACCATTGTCGGACACTTTGGAAAACGACTACGTAAATGTGTTGAGGCTGAAGGAGGCATTTTTGAACACTTGTTGGAACTTTGTTGTATACGGTCATTAGTACTGATTAGATGAAGACTCCCAGACGTTTAGTTGGCTGATTTCCTTTTTCGAACGGTATTTTTTATGCTACCGAAGTATTCCGAAAAATTGCCAGAACTTTTTGGTCACCCTGTATTGGCCGAAATATTTTTCGGTTTGTCCAACTGTGGTCATGTCTCTGTCCATTACTACGAGATGACAGTTTTCTCAATCCGGAAAATTCCACGAGTCATCATTTTTAGGCCATTTTCAAATGAGCTTAGCTTGCCATGGTTCAAAATATCGCGAAAATGTTTTTGCCAAAGCGAGTTTTCGACCTTTCAATGAACACAATTCGTTCAGGCGTGATGTGGAGTAAAGATCCTCACGGATTCGATAACTTGGAGGTTTCTGCTTTCCAATAACACTCATTTTTTAGAGCGCAGCCACCTGCACCTCCCTTCATTGAAGGCAGTGAGCACGATAGCTGGGGGCGGGCGCTTGTCGCCACCGTCATTGGTGGAAGGGTTGGGTCGGATGTGGCCAAACGCCCTGTCGCAGCCCTTCCACCAATGAGGCAACAACCGCCCGCTCCAGCAATCGCACCTATTGTCTTTAACGACAGGTCATATACGACCCCCACGTCGCGGACTCCGCGACAAACGATTACTCTGGTCACCCTTAGCCTTCAATAGTTAGTGAACATATGCCTTAATTTTAGTTTTAGAGCTAATGAAGAACAATCCCAAGAAGCCAACTCACTTCGATGACCCGACGAACCGTCTGAAGATAAGAGCTCTCGCTATCCACACTCGTACTTCTTCTAGGTGTTCCGTTCTCCACAGGAGGAGCAGGTTCAACGGGAGCAGGAGGTCTTCAAAGAAGTGTTTCCAGTTTATAGCATTGAAAAGTAGCTCAACTGAGGAAAAGCTATCGAGCAAACCAACTTACAATGGTTGTTTAGCACGTCTGATCTTCAGTCGCACACGGCTGATGTTCACATCAGGCACCGGTCGATCAACAGTTACCTGACATAATCTTACGTAAAGGAACATTCCACAATTATCTTATAGTTAGAAGTAGCAGTAACATTCCAAGTATGAGGTGCCTAAGTCCGCAGCACTGAGCCGTGACAAGAGCTCTAGCAGATTGCTCTAGCCGGAAACCCTGCTCACACCTAGTATAAATGCCCAGTACTGTACGACTAAGGAATTGCTATCGCTGTCCTATCCCCTTGTTTGACATCCATTTATGATTTTCCAGTAATCCTACAGAGGTCAACAAACATCACCGGTGACATACTGTCATGTCTAGTCAACAACTTGTCTTCCGAGGCATCAGTTGGAGCAGCGCAATACCTATTAAATAGAATTCTCCAAGCCATTCTAGGTGACTGAGCAGCCGTGTAGTTCTCTAGGGAACGCGCGGCATTGCCTGTATTCATTTCTCCTCCTAAAATGTTAGAAACTGCGGATGTCCACTTACCCCTCCGGTCTTTTTGAAGAGCATACCGCAAAGGTGGATAAATAATCAAAAAGTGAAGAAAGCTAGAAAAGAGACGTACATGAGCTCCAAACTGCATTGATTTCCTTCTCAGTTCTTTGGTGCAAGTGGCTTGTTCTAGAGAAGCTGCCTTGCACGACAGCGACGCCGACGCCCTCGACTTCCTGAAACATGTCCGCCTCGGAACAAAAAACCTCATTCTGTGCTCATTGTTAGGCGTGTGATACAGTTTGACCCACTGGCGCATCCTAATCTTGTGCCACGCTCCAGAGAAGAAGCGAGGAAAGCAGAATTACAGTCCTCGTTTCGCGTGCGAGCGTTCCAGGGGCTGGGGTTTGGCGGGTAACAGAGCCGCGTTATTCCACCAATTGTTGGGAACTGCTAACGAAAACTGATGCAGAACTGGCTCTCGCGTGCGCCAATCCAGCCCCTGAAACGCTCCACGGCCCCCAAGCACTGTTGACCCTCCCCCTTGCGTGTAAAATGATGTTGTCGCAGTCCGATGGGACAGTGCCAGGGGCGGAATAAACCCACCCGTGACGTTTTCTACAGCAACGGGGCTGGTCTCCTACCACCGTCGGATTGCGACGACAATAACTGAAGGTTGTCCTTTGAACGAATCATGCTTACAGTACTCTTGGGATACAGTAATCCCTTAATCGATAGGCAAAATCGAGGTGAGTGCGGAGCCAGACAAAAAGGTCTGTAAACCATGTGAAATTGCTTACTTCTTTTGTGTGATGGTTTTCTGACTGTCAAGTTGCAGGGACTTCTTGAAAAGCGAATGACTGACGGATTTCGTTACCAATGGTTTTATTTCTCGAATCTTCTGCGGGTGTTTGTAGGAAACGCTGAATAAATGGGGATTTATCGGGATATATCTCATCTATTCCGAAAATGTGATGAAGAAAGCTCACAAAATGGGTTGAACCAAAATCACTGTCACTCCATCAATACGAGGGGCCTGCGATCGAAGAATGGCCGATATCTGAAAGCAATCGAATATGATTTCTGTGAAACGATTTATATAGAATGAGAGCGCCTTTCACATCAGAAGAAGATCGCATTCACGTATGGAAACGGCCTCAGATTAACGTCGCCACGCTCTTCTACGCTAACGTAGCACAAGGTGGGCGGGAGCGAAACAGGAGGAAGTCGTAAGGCTGCGTTTATACTTTGCGGCAGCGTAGCGTAGCGCTTCCAGCGTACGCCAGCGGCAGTGCCGAAGAGAGGATGCATATCGATCTAGCTTCAGCGTCCAGCGGCACGCTAGCGTACGCCAGCGTTTCTCCAGCGTTTCACCAGCGTTTTGCTAGCGTTTGCAGCGGCAGGGGAGTAGAGACTATGTGGCCGTGAGAGACGCGGAATCGACGTGTATTGTAGAGACCATGTGGCCGTCGGAGACGCAGAAGCGATGTGCATTGTAGAGACTATGTGGCCGTCGGAGACGCAGAAGCGATGTGCATTGTAGAGACTATGTGGCCGTCGGAGACGCAGAAGCGATGTGCATTGTAGAGACTAAGGGCGAGTGAGAGACGCGCAATCGATGTGTTTTGTACCCTCCAGCTCTCCCATAGTCTCTACTCCCCTGCCGCTGCAAACGCTAGCAAAACGCTGGTGAAACGCTGGAGAAACGCTGGCGTACGCTAGCGTACGCTAGCGTACGCCAGCGTGCCGCTGGTGACGCTGGTGAAGCTAGATCGATATGCATCCTCTCTTCGGCACTGCCGCTGGCGTACGCTGGAAGCGCTACGCTACGCTGCGCTACGCTACGCTACGCTGCCGCAAAGTATAAACGCAGCCTAATTTGCCGTCGTAACTTTCCAATGGGGGCGTCACGCCGCGATGGACGCGGAAAATTCAAATGATGCGTCACTTTCTCGATTGGACCAGCGAAACTCGTAAAATTAATCATTAAATATTTTTCTCCTTATTTCTCCGCTATTTTGCACTTTTTCGGTGCTAGACGTATTTTGGGGGGGGGCAGCGCGACTCGCGGCGAGTGATGGACCTCTCGACCTCTTCTGTCTTCCTTCCGCAAAAATAGAAGTAACATCACTTTTAAGACATTGGATATAACCACCGTCCTAGCCACTACTCGAAAGCTTAAAGCAGTTAACCGCTGAAAGAAGCTGGCGAAAGATAACATTGTCAGGATGAAATTTTCTTGAAACTACCAACGATTGTTGGCCTTTTTAATTGTTGACCGTTATTCTTGACTACAAAAGATCAAACATTTGTTGTTCTCAGCTTCTGTGGGATTTCTCAGCAAGTATTCGGTGAATCTTGTTTGTTTTATTCTAATTTTGCTGCTAGATTAGCGCTCCTCTACAGTATGTCAATGAGTGAAGAGCCGATGAGTCGCCGCGAGGCCGGCGTGCCTCCCCCCCCCCAAAATACCGTTAGCAACGCCTATTTCACGTATTCCTTGAGTCATTTCCTGGACCGTCTGTTGCTCTCATAACTGACGTTACGGAAGATCGACAGCACCCTTTCCAGACCCTTTGATATTCAAAGTCGAATGGCTAGGTAGGCGAGCTCGGGTCAATAAGATAGATATTCGTGTAGTAATGTGGTATAAGTACATAACTGACAAGGACAAGCGACAACCTGTACCGTTCCAATCCAGCGACGGCTTAACAGGGTTTCAGCTGAATTTGCGTCACCTTGCCCTGCATCAGCGTAGAAAAGTGTGTCGCGATAATGTCAAAAACTCGGAATCATGTGTCAAGACCATTACCTGGATTTTCTCCTCCTTCGGTACTGCTGCTTTGGATAGAACTTTCAAGCCCTTGAGCTCGACCTCTTTCTTTCTGTTGAACTTCTGGAACACTTGCTTTTTCTTCTTTCTTTTCTTTGGCGCGGCCTACGGCGAATCCTTTTCAATCCTTCTTCTTCCTTCGGCTGCACAACGGTGATCTTCTCGTTCTTCTTGTCCTTCGGTTCCGCGACGGCAGTCTTGTCGTCCTTCTTCTCCTTCGGCTCCATGACGGCAATTTTCTCATCCTTCTTTCCTTTGGGCTCCGCGACAGCGACCTTCTCATCCTTCTTTGGAGCTGGCGGCGTTTTCTTCTCGATCCTCACAACGGGAGCCTCCAATTTTTTGTTCTCCTTCTTGCTCTCCTCCATTATCTTCTTCGGTTTCTCCTCCACTTTCTCGTCCTTTGTTAATCCAGAGAACTAAAAATAAATATGAATTACTTTTGAATAAAAAGAACAAATGAATACTTCTATACGTTGGACTACCTTAGATAATGACACACAAATTCATCTATAGCGTCTCAAAAACCCCACCAATTTCTTAAGCATCGATGGACCATTCTTCTTCTTCGGTTGCTTTTCTTCTGGCTCTGTGCTAATTACCTTCTTAACCTCCTTTTTGTCTTTATCTTCAACTGGCGCCATTTGCTTCTTTGGTTCCGGTTTCATCACATTTAGCGTCTTGAGTGGCCTTATGCGCTTGGTGGCAGTCTCATGTGGTCGGACTTTCCACACATGGGTCACGGCTGCTTGAAGTGTTTCCCTGGAACGGCTTCACCTCACTCGTGGTGCATTTCCATTCACTGATTTTCACACGGGACTCTCACCTGACTAGGCGCTTATTCTTACTTATGAACTCGTCAGCGCCTTCCACTTTCCACAGTCCGGGTACCGGAGCGACTCGTTTCACTTTGGGCTAAAAAGCAGACGTTCACATGAAGCTGTGCAATGAATATAGCGCTCATGCGTGCGGTTGCGGCGCGACCTGGTCATGTGAGTTTGGGCAACGTGTGAACGATGAGCAGAAAGAACGCGCTGTAGAGGCGGCGGGACGACATGGCAACGCCTTCTTTCTTGGTCAATACTTGAGCTTACTGGAGATTATGCCTTCTGTGTGAGACCATTTCTTTGCAACTCTGGTCGTCTGCGCACTATGCCTGAGTCATGATGAAGGAAATGGACATAGAGGCGCGGTCTGATGGTCCCCACAACTATGTTAGGCCAAGGTTCCGCTATAAAACAAAAAGAGTACCTTGCAGGGCTTGAAGTGAACGACGGCGCTGTACTGCGATTCATCATCGATGATGCTTGACGCGTCGGTTGCCGACTGGAATCATCAAGGTAACGACATAATTAAATAAAAATGCAATCTTCTTTCTTATTTCTCTTTTCTTCAGAGCCTGAACGATGCCTTTATCTGTTTTTTATGCACGTTTATGGCGTATGCCAGACAATCATATGGGTGTAGCTCAGGAGGATCTATTGCTAATAACCACCTACAGGTTCAGCTACCACGCTTGCCTCAGTCCCTCGCACTGCCCCGAATCGCTCGAACTTCTACAAAGAAGAGCCCACCACAAAAAGAATTATAACAAAAGTGACATTTATTGAGCCAGAGAGCCAGACAGGACACAGCACAACTCGTCCACAAGAGGGTGGAGTTTGCACTTGGTGATTACTCTTACGCTCGAAAATTCCACAAAAAGGCAAAATCTGGGGGGAGGGGCGTGAACAGAACTGTGCTGCAGTAGTAAAGTGGTGAACAGACTGAGCGATGAACTGGGTTCCTAGCGCTTTTCCGCAGTTTCCAACGATGCTCCTTTCTCAGATGGCCCGATATCCATCAACAGAAAGTGCGCAACTATCTTAGGAATCACGACGGTTAATTCATCGCTTCTAATGCCAGAGCAATCTACGCCCTACCAAATCTACGATAACTATGATTAAACATTCTCTACGCTGCACTCATGGCAACTAGAATTATAGTCTATTAAACTGATTGTGCCTGGAACAAGTATCGTGATAAGGAATTGTCATCGTGCATTAAAAAGTCACCCAAAACTATGGCTACGTTTCTATTTCAATCTCGAATTAACTTCGTGGTTTAGGCGGGTCTATGAAGCATGGAAGGCCTGCTCAAAACAAAGTTTATTCAGCTCAAAACCAGACGGGTAGAGAACGCTTTAACAGTTCTCATCATGTCGACACGCGTGAGCGCGTGCAGTGCGGTCTGCATTTGTTGGCGTTGGCGAAAGTTCTTCTGACACCAGTTTTTGAAGCGCAGACAAGTGCATTAACTTGTATAATATTCGTATTACTCGTTTTCTACCACTTTTGTGTCGCATACGCGTTGCAACAAAAAAGGCTGAGAACGGCTTCAACAGTGTGCGCACTCCTTCTGGCTGACACGCCCCACCGTCCGCATGCATGAACTGTATTATTTTCTTCATTGTGTGCCCTTCTCCCTTTGCATTTCAGACGAATTCTTGGAGAATAAGACCTCGACCTGCCATGCGCCTCCCTCCCAAGGCAGATAGTGCCAGAACGAAGGGGAGGGTTGTAGCGCCGATGTGTCATCGCGGCTCGGCACGGTCCCCGCTAGGCGTCTTGCCTGCAGTCGATACTCCCAAGCCATCGAAGAAAACTACAAATGTCAATGCCTAAAACTTAGTAGGTATAAGAGGGCTACTTGTGCAAAACTGAGGTTAAGCCACCCATAAAATTATTGTACCAGATAATTGCGTTTCACCCTCCCATCCTCCGCTTGGGCTCAAGCCGAACTATTCATCCTACGGTAAGTCTAGTTTTGCACAAGTAGTCCTTTATATCCCTTACTACCGCTGAATATGTATATGTCCTAACTCCACTCACCTCCTCACTGTCTGTAAAACCGTCTAAACTGCCGCAATCGTTAGACTCGAAATGAAAGCAAATGTGTTAAATTGTGACATAGCCAGTGCCAGTTAGCCGGGGGGATCTCACCCACCGTGCATTGTGGAAAGTCGAAAAAAACTATGCAAACAGACAGTTTAGCACTTTATACAGAAAAAGAAAGTAGGGTATGAGCGTAAACATATGCAAGTTGAAAAATAAACATTAAAAAACCGTGCATATTAACAACATTAACATTACTAAATATCTTTATACTATATTACTGAATACTACCAACTACTAAACAAACAAATGAAATAACAAAAGCTGTTACTACAGTTATACGCCCAGGGGATATTTTAGCGAAGATCCCATCGCTCGTACTGTGGCAGGGTCGGCACCGCTATATCCTTTTCTATTGTGTGCCGCATCCCTACAAACGTCATGACATCTTGAACTCAATTTCTTTAGAATTTCTGTTTTTCGCTGCCACTCGGATTATGCTCTCGCCGATATGCTACTGCACGCGTTCACTCTGACTCACACATACCAGCTTGCCCTCGAATGATGAAACGGCCCACCTACTTTTCGCGAGCCCCCTACCTTTCCAAGAGCCAATTTCCAATTTCCACCGTCCGGCCCTGCCTTGAAAGGCCCGTTCAAATTCTGCTCGACATTATTTCTTCCCACAATTCATGCTTTGATAGCTGCGGCTGTCCTCTCACTTGTCTGCGTTTTATAGGTTCACAAAAGACGTAAGTTCTTTAAGACAGTAAAGAGGAGGGCGTAATGGTAGGCTAAGCCCGCCCACACGACAAGCGCGGAATGGGCCCTTACGTCAGATACCCCGCTGGGCACGAGCGCGGGAAAGTCTGGCACTGCGTTAATTCCCCATTGATCCATTTATTTGTCTTGCAACCTTTGCCCGACAAAGCCATGTACACGCGCCAGTAAGGGGTATGGACGGTAACTGGTAATTCTGTCCACAGTCCCAATGCCACCCTCTGCCTGTAGCTGTAAATTTCATGTTTTTGGCCGTGGAAGTATAAGTTTAAAGAAACCTTTGGTGGCGGTGCAGCAACCGGCGACTTGATATCCTTTGTTGGCGGTTCCACCATACTGTTCGGCCTGCTGTTCTTCAGTGTTGCATCGCTTTTCGTCGCCAAACTCAAATCCTCAGACGTGGATACATTGCCTAAAACTTGGGAACTTACACTATTAGACCATGCTGTACTGGTGAAAGAGGAGTAGGTAGTATCTACAGTAACAGCTAAAGCTTAAAATACTACTTGAAGCTTCTTGCAATAACTTCTCGAGTTCATCACAACAGTAGTTGAAGCTTGTTGCCATAACCATCAAAGCTGGTTAAAGGATAGATAATGTCCAGTAATTATCAAAGCTTACTACAATAATAGTTGAAGCTGAAAGACATATTCCGCGATAGTCGGATGAACAAGGAAATGGGCGGAGACTCGTCATCATTGTGCTTTCCTATTGGTTCGCCCTACTCTTCTTTACGACAGCGGTTGTGGGTCTCCGTCCATTCGGTAATCGCCGAATGCGTCTTTAATGTTAGCGATACACGTCAAATACACGCACTCAAGCAGAGTGGTTTGACCGATTACATGAATCTCAGATAGCGCCTTCCAATTAGGATGCACCACGCGCTCACCCTCTAACTAAGTTGTAGACGAACAACATGTGGGATTTGATCCCACAGGTTGTGTAAGTTTGACGCGACAATTTAGCCGTTTAGCCGCAAAATAAGCCAATTATTGGCATTGCCCAATAGAAAGCAATGAAGAAGCTCACAGCAAGCGGTGAGTGTCCTGTTACCTGCGACCGGCTTCTTGTCATACGATCTAATAACATTGTTGATCTTGAAGAACTTCGGAGGTGACAAGTGCTTCATGGTGGTCCGTGAGGTATCGCGGTTAGCCCCTGACGGTGGCGGCGAGGGACTGGCGGTGAATTCCGTTGGCGCTGATAGGCTAACCGAAACAGGACTTGGTGACACCGACGGACTTGCAAGAACTGGGACCACTATCATTGGGCGACTCGCATAAGCGGGGCTCGATGGCAGTAATGAGCCGCGCCAAACGGGGCCCGACGGCACCGTCAGTGTTGGACTAGCTGAAAGAGCCTGACAATATTTGAAGAAGAGCACATTACCATCAATTTTCTGAACTTTTTTCACTTCCAGCGGTCATGCCCAATCGTTCACTTTATAGAAGGTTTAATCAATTGCTATTCAAGAAAATGCAAGGGCACTTCATACCTTTCACTAACTCAATCATCCAAAATCAGCCCAGTTTTCGAGCGAATTTTGTCCCGAATCAAGCTTGGCCACAAACTTCCCCTGGGGTAGCTTGACCTCTTGAACACGGATACAGCATCCGCAGACTGAAGCCACTAAGCCACCGCGCCACACGCGCCGGCGCCGAGATACCTTGGGAGCACTAAAAGTGCTTAAAATTGTCACCAGGGGTAGATTAACCCCCTGAACACAAACATCACATCCTTTTCACCGGAAAGCCTGAGGTATACGTCACAAGAAACTCATCACATGCTTGTTACGACTCCGGCACAAGTAGCACGGGCTCCAGTCGTTCCGTGCGGTGTGCTATGGCAGTTAGAGAGATGGTGAGGAAACCAGCACTCATTCTGGTTGTCTGTGATAGTGACCCTACCATTCAGTGAGGTTCATACTTTGCGACAGCGTCCACTAACGTTTTGAGCATCCGGCAGCTCAACGATGGGAAAGTATAGATATCGATCTAGCGTCTGCAGTTATGGAAAGTATTGATCGTTCGATCTGGCGTGTCATTTCAGCGTTCGCCAGCGTCTGCGCGGCGTCCGAGGCATAGGAAATATTAGACATCGATCTAGCGGACAGCTAGTGCAGCGCGCTGCCACATTCTCAGCGGCACCAGATCTCCCAGCGTCTCGGGGGAGAGTATGGCGCGATTACGCGGGTAGCTACTTGATTAGAGCACGAACGGATAGGATGGCAGACTGCTGGTAGATGAGTACTGGCGCGCCAGGTAGGGTATCGCGTCATACATCTCCTCTCTCTGGACTCTGGCAAATGCTGACTTCACCGCTGCCACACTCTGGTAACGCTACATCGATATCTAGCGGACGTTCCCAGACGATCGTCCTCTGACCGCACTCTCGCTAGTGGACGCCGCCGCAAAGTATTGAACGCAGCCTAAGCAGTGAAGTATCACTATCTCGGGGTAGAGGTGTTGAAGCAACCTGTGCCCCCTTTGACTCCATCCTTACCTTTTTCAACACCTCATACAGATGTGACATTTCGTGTTCAGGAGGTGAAACTAGGAGCTTCCAATGGATATGGTAATTTTGGGTGTTCTGCTGCCGGCGCCTCTGGTGCGAACTAGGAGATTCCGGACGTACGTGATATTCGTGTTCAGAAAGTCAAACTGCTCCTAGGATCAAGTTCCGGTTTTTTTTGTGGTGGTTTTGGGTATTTTGGCGAATATGTCAGCAGGATTCGGTCCAAGTGGACTTGATTTTCGGTTCAGGACGTCCAGGAAGCACCTTTGTTTTCTTCTGAGTACATAAGCCCGGCAAAAAGTAGCCTGGTTTAAATGGACTCGGCCAAATGAAGGCCAAAATGCCGGAGTTCATTATTACAGCTTGAAGGCGCACACTCCTTCGGCAAGTGATAAGACGTGGAACACTAGGCTCTTCAATGCGCTACCAGCCCAACCTTTTTGCGACTTGGAGTGGAGAGGGGGAGCTGTACTTTACAAGGGCGTACTCCCACATCGTCAACCTAGAACGCTGGTAACTGCAGAACGTATACGTTGTACTCGTAGGACCTTATCATTTGAAGGCCACGTCCCGCGACCCTGTGATCGGGGTGGGCCTCATTGAATGATGGTGCCAGTGAACTCAAAAAAGGAGGGAACTTCGCGTAATGCCCTAGGACTCTAGTCGTAGAAAGTTTTGAACGAATTCTATAACCTTTGTGTACCAGAAACGATACCAGTTTTTCCTTATAACCTCGCTCTCATCATTCGGAATGCGTAGAGCTGGGCGCTCAACAACCCCACCACCAAAGGGACCTATACGAATGAATGAATGAATGAATGGCTAAGTTACAAGCAGTGGGAGGGTCATTGAACTCGTTATGAGCGAGTAGCATCTCTAACCATCGCGCCACAAAGGTGGTACATTTGGGCATGTGGATCGGAATACCTTGGACGTGGACGTCTAACACAACAGCCAGGAATTTTAGCAGGAGAAGATGAAGAGATCGAAGTCACCCTGGACTGGAATTTGAACTGTATGAATTTAGCCGTGATATCACTACTCTAAACATACCGTAGCTATGAGCTACCAAGCTATCAAAATGCGCTAAAGGAACTGTGAAGAATCGTGGAGATGGGAAGTTCTCCACCCTTCACGACTGGACTCTTCACTCACCCCGATACATAAATAATTACGAATTATTGAAGGTATCCATGAACCCACCTGATGCTTTGAGGTCCTTGGGCGCAGCTGGTGGATGTTGCCTGAAAAAATGAGGATTCCACTAAACATAAAAAAGTCAACTCGACCGAAACAGTTGGTTATGGGTAGAAAAACATGATATTCTGAAAACTGGGACTCTGAAAGAGCCTGTCAGCGTTTATGAGTGAAGGGTCAGACCGATTTGTTTTCCCCACAAAAAGGCTCCCCTAATGCAAAAGCGTCTGGATGGTCCGTTCACTCCACAGGGCCCTCCCACTAACATTAGCAATGGTAGACTCCCTCAAACATGCCAAGTGAAGGAAACGTACTCACCGTGTCGGTGTGCTCTTTGAATCATCTGCACTTCCCGTTTTATTGAGTGAAGAGTCCAAGGATTTCAGCTGAATTTTACAAAAATTTCAGATACCTTCCGATAATATTTCACAACGAAGCATTATTATAAATAAACGACAAAAATTAGGTTCAGGCACACCACGAGAGAAAATTTTCTCAAATTTTAATCACAAGAAATACTAATAAATGGGGCTCGTATAAAGACACACTCCGCGATCGCGAGTGGTGGGTAGTAAAGTCCAACAACGAGTTTGTGTGTGCTAATTGAGCTACCACTGAAGGAAAAAGCGAACAAAACCGTCGAAAACGCCCCAATTAAGGCTCGGTTGGTTCTCAGTAGCGGTGAGATGAGCATATCGTGTTGGCTAGAGACGCGAGAGAACTCAAGCGAGAGATTAGGTAGGCTTACAGCAACCAAAGAGAGAATCGATTGCAACCAGGCACGGTTCGCCATTAGCGTTGTGAATCATTCTCTCTGAAAATACGACCCCCCTATATCATTCAAGATAGCGGACGCCCCCTCCGGGGGGGGGGAGGTCGCAGTACCTACGTACGTCCCAAGCACGTCCAGCACTCTGGCGCTGGTGTAGCATACTGACAATACGTACGAGGAAGGGGCGATGATAGGGCAAAATCACCGACACCGACAGAGGAACAACGAACCTGTTATAATTAACCAAAGGACTCACAGACGTGATTACATAAATTGATGAAATTACTTCCCCGCCGGACTTTTCTGATCGTAGGAGCACATTTGCTTGCAATTGGGAAGCCCTATCTAGAAGTTACACCTTCCAAACACCTGCGTGAAAGCCCCATGCATGGCGCATTGCAGAGGTGATGCCAAATGGCGCCCCAATGGCCTATTTCCTGATACCCTTTGCGAAAACATGTCTCTTAGAAGCATACCAAAGTCATCAAGCCAACCGGAGGTTTCATGGCCTCGGAGGGGTTGATTTTTCGGTGTCGTGGGGGGTGATTACAAAATGATCACAACGGGAATTTTTTTCGAATAGTAGGTCTAGGAAGGAAATTAAAACCTTGCTGGAAAGTAGAAATCTTCAAGCTTCCGGCACAGTTCTTTTTTTTACGAAAGGTCGTGTATGAAGCTTGCCATGGACGTCCAAAGCGTAGCGACTCGCGGGTTCGCAAAAATGATCACAGAAAAAAAAATTGGATCAGCAAATATGGAATCACGTAACGGGGAAAAATCTCTGGAATCGGAACGTTTTTGAAATCGCTCAATTCAGGTGACAAGAGCCAACCTAGCTCTACTCATTCCCACTTACCCCTCTCCGATAGCTTCACTTTCAACGAAGTTATGGGTGTTCAAATGAGGGTACTTTTCACGTGTGTTTGGCTTTTGTAATCCGCTTCTCCTTGGCGCGCGCGGACTTGAGCTTGTATGAGCGCGCTGACCGCGAACAGCCAAAATTCAAAAGTAATCCATAGTTCCGGTTCCCAGCTGGCCTGGTGAGTTTTTTTTCTTATCTTATTCTTTTTCTTATTTGATTGTGAGTTATTTTGATTGTTTGTTTTGTTGAGTTTGGTTTTGTTTTGTTGAATTTGATTTTGTTGTGAGGAAATTGCTCAGGATTCAATTTCTACGGTTTCATAGGTAGCTTTTGCAATGATTCTTTTCTAGATTTTGCGGATTAGTGGATTGGGATTTATCTAGACCAGATGAGGAGGGTTTGGTTGGGCGAAGCTGTCATCTTGAGGTTTTTTTGTGAGGAAGGTGGAAAAAGTTTCAGCAATATTTTTTTAATTCTTGACTTAGGAATAGTTCGATAGTGCCTAGTTCTATTTTTATTGTCATCTACATCGTCCCTTTTGAGCTTCTTTTCACTTGTACCGTGTATCACCGCTCTCTCCACTTCAACATGGGCCATGCGTTTACGACCCCCCCCCCCATCGCGGGCAAATACGACCCCCCTGTTGTGATGATCACAAAGATGGCGTGCCCTGATTGAACAGGACGTTGCGTCTGTGTCTGCCTCAAGAATGTGCGTCTGTATGACAAGCTATTCCTGATTATCCGGTATTTCTAGAGCCTCCCCCTCAGTCCTTCAAGCAGGAAAGTGCCACGCCATACACAAGTACGGAACCAGTATTCTGGTTACTGGATTCCAGTGAAATGGTCCGGCAGTGGATTCACAACGGAGGCAGTCGCACTTGGCTTACTTGAGAATGGGGGGGGGGTCGTAGCCGGTTTCGAAGATTTTTGGCGGTAGCCGGTTTCGAAGATTTTAGGGAAATTCGAAAAGATTTCGGCAAAATTCGATGGGATGGTAGGACACCGCGACATGCGCTTATACCCCACCACTCTTGGCCCCCCGAAAATTTCAGGAAATTTCGTAAGAATTCGGCAAGATTTGGTGAGATGGTTGGTACGTTGTAAAAGAAGATTGTGTTGACAGGGAAATTCAAAAGGTGGGGGGGGGGGGGGCGTACATAGCAAAAATTTCACGTAAGGCGATGATGTGTTCGGATTCTATTTTTCGCAAGGCAATCACGGAATGTGGGAATAGATCATTTTGGTGGTCTGAACGCGTTCTTTATCGTTTTGAAGATAAAAAGACAAATATTAAAAAAACTGAAAATAACAGCAATCCAATCAAAATCAATAATACAGACTTACCATCCCATTAGCTGCTACAGTGGGCGGTGGCAGAGGTGCTGAAGAAAAGGATGTGTAACTGCGTAGTAAGAATTTTACAACCAAACTCAAGCTTTTTTTTCGTCTAGGATAGCTTAGCTAGTCACTTGGAGTCTACTCAGCCCACACACCAGGGCCTGGCAAGCTAATCGTGGGTAATTCGTGAGGCAAAAAAGCAATAAATGGGCATCATTTCCGTAAGTCTGGGAGCAGCATAAACAGGACGGCGTGGCGAGGAACCACAGGGGAGAGATAGCTGAAGTATTGAGGCCTATATTAGTTGCCTCACGGAAAGAAAAAGATTCATCGTCTGCACTTTTAATGCAAGGATGCTTGCATCGGAAGCTCACATCGAAGATCTGACGGTAAGCCAGGAAGATGAAGTACGACGTCATCCGCAGACGAAAATGGAGAAGAACTGTCCCTGGGAACGGATGTTTCTCATGCGATAGCACAGGCGTCGGCGGTGTGGGTAACCTCGTTGACAATCTTCGTCGCCTACGCACCAACATCAAGCTACGACGAGGATGAGCTCGAAGCGTTCTATATGGAATTGGAGAAGTTCTACAAGGAAGATCATACCTTCTTCAAGGTCATCGTCGGTGATTTCAACGCTAAGATCGGACCAAGAAGAACGGCTGAAGAACTTCACATCGGAACTCACGGAACGGAGTGGAATGAGCAGGGTGAAAGGCTGTCTGAGTTTATCATGTCGACCCATACCATCCATGGTAACTCGCAGTTCCAGAAGCCCTACTCTCTACGCTGGACATGGGAGTCTCCTGGTGGACAATTCCATAATGAGATCGACCACATCATCTTCAATCGAAGGTTTTGCCTGACGTCGCTGTTGTTCCCAAGTTCTACACGGGATCGGACCACGGTCTCCAAAATACTTCATTGTGAGGCGAGGGAGAAATGACCAACACTGGGTAACGGCTTGGCCGGGACCTAATTGGCAAGCCAGGACCTAACTGGCATTGTTAGCAGTTCTTCAACGGTTTTCAAAGAAGCTGAGGACAAACCTTGTTCTGCAGACTCTCTGTGTCGTCTCCTTCGTCGTTTTGCGTCGGCTCGCGTTAGCGAGCGGTCGATTTCCTCGTCACTTGACGAACTATGCGTTAGAGCTCGTTGCCGGGAATTTCGTCGGGCGGCTGGAAATGAGCAGTTGAGGAGGAGGGAAATTAGAATCGTATGGTTCCAGTGAGAAAAAGAGGCTTTTCACATCAGGGCACACCCGTGTGCATGAAGCTTATCAAACTCACTTCGCTCTTTGCTCTTGCTTGATCTCAATTTGTGCTTTTCCGGGTCACGTTCTTGACTGCTTTCTCGTATTGACGGGTTTTTCGGAACCGACGATACACCAGCGTGCGACATTGACTGCTTTGTCGGGGTCTCGTAGAGATTCTTGACTGGAATTTCTGAAATTTTCAGAACTACATTTAGTAGACAACTTGCTATTGCCTAGCTCAATCCTTTCTATGTAAGCTTTCTAGCTTTCTAAGTTCCGCCATTCAACAGGTAATTCATCTGTGTTAGGTCTATGGTAAAGCTCTGAACAGTGGCTTTTATAGTGCGAAACGCAGTTAGACACTAACTAAATGTTCAGCAAACAATAAGTGAAGCAGTGCTGTTAAAACCCTGAAAGTCTGTAGTCTAGCTTGTAGTGGGCAGAAACCCTAATATTATATAAATTCAAGACAATGTCCAGCCAGCCCTGAACATGCGAGGGGGAGGGGGGTTCAGTGTATTCTCGGTGCAGGTATGAAGGAAAAGGCAGAAAATTCTGAATAAAATTTATTTTTCAATGTAGTCCCCCATAACCTCAATACACTTGTTTGCTCGGGAAACTAACTTTTCAATACCCTCTAAAAATATTTTTCCTCTTGTCCCCAAAATGTGCCGCCTTCAGCTCTTCATCGTCAGAAAAACGCTTTCCACAAAAATCACTTTTTTAGTTGGGGAACAGAAGGTAATCACTAATCATTTTCTCAATTTTCTTCTCAATTTTTTCAAATCAGTAATCATTTTCTCAACATTGTCGCATCAGTCATTCTGGTCTTCTTTCACCAAGGATAACTAGAATAGCATTGATGATAACTAAATGAAATTTTGTATTTATACCCTCAGAGAGTGTCGTTACCTATTGAAATGATTTGAATTCCTTCGTCACTGCTAATTACCCCGATATCGAGAATGCTTTGAATGGCCTTGTATGGCGTGGGGCCGAATAAAAATTTAAGCGCTCCGTTGAAGGTGAAAAATCAAATAAAATGGGGCTAATTCTTGCCTTGACCTAGTGTTAGTAATGCTAAGCAAACACTGTTACCTGTCACTTTTTCCATCTAGCACAGACGGCTTGAGCAACGACCGTGGTTGCTCCGATGTCGTCAGAGATCTGAATGTCTCATTTCGTGAACGAACGGGTGAATAGCTTCTGAAAACCTCTGCATTCACTCATGACTAGAATACCGTTAATGTCCTGTTTATTGATCAGATTGATTAGTGAAACACAAAGCTCTGAAAGCAGACTTCTACTAATTGATCCCACTCAAAACTGCTCTATCGATATATCTAAAAAATATGAGTTCCACTCCAGAACGCACCGATTGCGCTCCATAAGATATTTATTCCGCCAATATGTAGTCCGTAAGCTTAAAACAGTTAATAATCAAATAGCACCTACACAAAGGTGACCTGAATGTGGGCAACTCCGCCCAAAGGACGTGTTGCCTTGTAGGTCAAAATGAGCCCTTAGGATTGAGATAATCACGTGAATAATTAGCTGCAGATGAATAACCCTAGTGACAAGCCATGAACAGATCTGGCTCCAGACATGATTAAAGCTTAATGGCTTCTATCGAACCTCGACATCAGTTCCTTTGGCTCTTCGGGTTTTGTTCTGCCATAGGAAAGTGCAAATGATGGAGTGTATGAAGTGGACGTCCGCGTTCGAGAGCCATAATTCTGTGAGCGAGAGCTATCTGTTGATCCGTTGCGCGATCGATACTGAACAATCAATATCAGTCAATAAATGCAATGTTCATGTTCGCGCAGAGCAGTCTGAGCGTTGCGTGCGGTACAGCCGTGGAATACTCCCAATATCGAAATACGTAACATCAGTCTTCTAGAGCAAGGCAGAAAAAGAACCAAAAGGGCAGCCGCGCGCAGCCGCGCCGCGTTGTTAGGCACTAGGATTTTTGCACATCACTATTTACTTTCTATCCATAGGAACCATAGTTGTAGAAAGGATTAACTGAGCAATGCACAAAACTCCTGCACAAAAGCTAACTAGTTTAAGTGCCGCAACGCGACCGCGCGCGGCTGCCCCTGTCTGTTCTGCTGTCTCTATTGTCAGAAAAAGTTTCTATTTTCTGTATGACTAAGCGCTTCACTGCTCTGTGCTGTTATGAAAGGAAGCTACAAACCAACCAATCTAGCATCTAATGTTAAATAGTAAGAAGCGTTGTAAACAATGACAAATCAAACTATTAGCAACGCCACACGGAGAGAACGAGTTGAAGCGCGGGGTAGACGACGTGGTAGACAGAAGCATCTCTAAACATCTCACGTGCATAATTCAAGCGGCTCGGGACCGTATTCACGTCATATTACACACACTTTGGACTTTCCGCAAGGTCAACGCTCGTCATGCTGGGTTTTTTACGGCGTATGGGCGGAGTTCGAAAGGTGGGCGGTGCTTCAAGGCTGTTGGTTCACCGCAACTCGATGGAAGTCGCTAATCGTTAGGCTGCATTCATACTTTGCGGTAGTGTCCACCAGCGACCACCAGCGGCCATCTGCAATTCGAGCGCGTCCGTAAGAGTCGGGACTAGGAGTGTATAGACATCGATTTAACGAACGGCAGCGTCTACCAGCGTCCATCAGCGTCCGCCAGCGACCATCAGCGTCTCGAGGGACTAGGAAAGTATGGATATCGATCTAGCGTCTACCAGCGTTCACCAGCAACCAAGGAGTAGAGAGCATGGGGATCTAGGAAGGTCGCAGACTGCTGATAGAGTATGGGGGGAAGGAGAGACGATACAGCTGGATTAGGCGCCGTGAAATTGTGGCATGTGCAACCGCACCGTACTAATACACAACACCGTACTCTTGACCGCTGGTGGACGCTTCTAGACGCTTGATCGATGATCATACTTTCCCATTCGCTAACACTGACGGACGCTCGGAACGCTGGTCGATAGTGGTCGCTGGTGGACGCTGCCGCAAAGCATGAACGTAGCTTTATAGAAAACCGCCCACTTTGGAAAAGTTTTCGTGAACGGTGAATCGTAAATTGCCGCTACGTCGCGCGCGGCAATGAACGCGACGTTCCCTAATTTGCACTACCCTTTCGACTGGAGCATCGGATTTCATGTAGACAAGGACATGGTAGACACTTATGTCTATTTTTGGTCATACATTGTCTATTCTCGACCAATACCACCTAAAATCGTCGTCATTAGCGGGCGCGACGTCGCACGCGACGCCCACTGGCGCGGCGAATTACGATTCTCTTGCCACATACCAGGGTTACAGTGTTTTTCTTTGACGAGTACGGTCCCGAGCTTAGCACACTATAAGCATACTACGCACCCCGCTAGCACTAACGTAGCTTCGTAGGCGATCGACAGATTGCGATAGCTCGTCGCCGCTCGCTTGCGACTGCGAACTGCGACGTGACCAAGCGCGCGCGTTTCGCGCCGCCGTGTAGGAAGCACTCACGTCGTCGCCGAGCGACGCGCGAATTCGCGACGATTCGGCGAGTCGTTGACGCCACGGCCGCTCTGCGCGAGGTGTGCTGAAATGTGTACTATTACCATCGATAACTCCATTACTTTGTATATATACATACAATATACACACAGTATACAGTTTGCTTGATGAGAATGAGCCTTTTTCCTCTAAATAACGCCCCTCGAAAGCAGTGGATGAATAAGGAAGGGCCGTGACTCGCAACGTCGTTGGTGGAAGGGGTAAGTGAGGTCTGGCAAAATGCCTTCTCCTTCCACCAATGAAGTTGACGGTAAACGCCCGCCCTTAGCCATCGTGCCCACTGTAACCAAAGGCACATTCCACGATAACCGGGCAGCTTGAAAAGGACGCGGAAACTCACAGCCTGCATTCTTTATCATTGCGCCGCCCATTTCGATACTGTAAAGGGAAGCGGGAGCCAATAGAGAAGAGACATGGTTGTGAGATTCCGCCCACTTATTCGCTCATCCGATTATCGCGGCAGTTATGGTCAGAGTACATCCGCGTTGCAACTGCACGCGGCCACTGTCGGCCAACTCAATTCTTCTCACCGCATCATTTCTGCACTCGAATAGTGACAGGGCACAGGAATGTACTCTGACCATTACTTAAAAATTCAGTCAAAAATAAAAATAGAAAGATGATGAGTATTACAATTGCATCCCATTATACAATCAAAACTCACTGTACTTGAGGCAATGGAGAGGCTGATAAAGCGCTGGTGCGATCGGCTGAGAACCGAGAGATGGCCGGCACGGTCGTTCGACTTGGAGTCACTGACGCCGTTTTACGGTAAGCTGTGATCAGTCAATTTCAATATTCAGCATATAAGTGAAAAAAATGGGTTTCACGCGCTAAAGTAGTTAGGGGGACCCTTCGGTTATGCCTCAGTGCCCGATCCCCTAAGCTAGGCTTAGATCAGAGTGCCGATCACAAGACCTGTTAAGACATAGCTTCCACTTACAATAAGAGGAAACCTTAGTTTGAAGAAGAGACACACAGGCTCTCCCAAGTGCCACCACCTGCCTACATAAGCGCCAGTTTTCATACCCAAAGTACGATCTCGAAGGGGCTAAGGGAGTTAGGAACAGGGAACCGTCAGCCGCTGAGGAAAAATTTTGCAAATTACCCCCCTTCCCTCAATATTTCCTCCTCTATTACGAAC